AACAAACAAAACATTAACTCAAAAAAACAATGTGAGAAAAACACAATGTACTTTTATGTCTGTTTTTCCCACAGCCATAATTTCTGTTTGGTCTTTGATGATTGTTAATCACTTCTGTCTTTCTAGGTCTTTTATTCTACGCTCCACTAATCTGCCACATACTCTCCACTGTTGCAGTATTTATGTACTGTACGGATATATGTACTGTATGTGTGGCCCCCGGCCCCTGTGGGACAGCCATGTCAAGGTCGCTGGGTCAAGGAATCCGGCCAATCAGAGTCGTGCCGCTCCCTGTTTCCTGTCCTGAATGACAAGCATTCCGGCAAAGCTGGGCAAGGAAGTCCGAGGAGCTTCACGGTCCCGACTCCCATGACTTCAAAGCTGGAACACAATCAGTCAAACAGACATGTGCACTGATTACATCTCGAAATTACATAAACGAGACAATGTATTTTTCACTATTGAAGAGGGAGTGGCTTGGACAAACTGCTAAGAAACTTCACTGTGATATAATACAGTTTACTTACTTATTAGTCAATAGAAACATGAAGAAAAAAGCAGAGTTTCTGAGCCAGGGGGCGCAAACACTCCCACCCCCGGCCACCAGAGGGCAGACGCCGAGAGTGTAGGATGTTTACACAACCTGGAACTCAGTGACATTTCTTTTTAAATCCATGATCCTTTTATTGGACCATTTAACCAGCTGAAAGGAGAATTTATAATTGACTTTGTAATTGTTTAAATATTTGTTGATGTGTTTTCACTTTTTCTTGCTGTTATGCAAACTTTTCTGACAAAAAAAATAAAAACACCCATAGAAGAAAAAACACATTTTGTTTGTACAATTTGTAAATATCTGTAAACTGAAATACAGTATCAATAAAGCCTGTAAACAACTGACTGCTGATTAAAAACAAAAACACACCGTTTCTCTCTACAGAACAGAGTTCCTGAACGTTTACAGTAGAAACACTGAAGAAAAAAGAAAATCTCAGCGTGTTTTCATTCATACCGTGATGAATGTAGGGTGGAGGTTCAAAGGGGGTGGGGTTAATATTAGAACGCTTCCTTCTCACTTCCTTCCTTCCTTCCTTCCCTGTCTGCAGCCCCTGGAGAGAGCGTTCCACCCACTTCCTCTCGGCTCAAATTAAAAATCTCTCCCTCCCTCACCCTCTCCATCTCTACCACTGCTTTGCTCTCATCCTGCTCCTCCTCCTCCTTTCTCCTCCATCTCTCAGGGGAGAATAAGGCCCATCCACTGGGAACAAACTGGAGACAGCTATCGCTTGTAGTCAGTTTGCCGTGGCAGGGCACTCCTCCAACAGCCCCCACTCCCCCTCCTCCACCCTCCCACTCGCTCGCTCCTTTTCTACAGAGCTGACTTTTTCCCCCTCTGTTACTTACATTCAGCTGAAGAAGACTGTGATTAGCTGATGGTTTAAAGTCAGGCTGCAGCTAACAATGTAGTGGTCAAGCCAGTGAACCTTACTTGGTTTGTGCCAAAGCCAGAAGCTTCGTAGTCTAGTAGTATCAAACAATTATCTGGACCCCCATGTCCCCCAAGCAGCAGCTGGACGACAGTGATGGTACTAGCAGTTGGCTGCTGCAAACATCCGACTGAAAGCCCAAGAACCAAACACCAGCTTCCAGTCAAGGATGTTTACAGTAGCCTTGACTGCCAACAGCCTGAGGAAAAGGAGGAGAGATGTTGGTCAGATGTGGAAAAATTATGATGAAAATTTTTAACAAAATGTTATCTGTTCTGCATGTTTCTCATCAAAATGGAACATTTTGGGAAATATTTTGGAAAAAATTGTTTTTTTTGGATATTTTTGAGACTCAAAATCTAACGTTGAAAAAGTTTGATGACAACTACATTTTTTAATTTTACCTTTTCTGCATGTCTCATCAAATTAGAAAATTTTGAAAGTTTTTTAGAAAAAAAATTTCAATTTGGATTTTTCCAAAAACCATTTTTTTTTGGAATTTTTTTTTTTTTTTAAAAAAAATTTTTTGGAATCAAAAATTTCCAAAAAAAAAAATTCCAAAATTTTTTTTTTAGAAAAAAATTTTTTTCCCAAAAAAAAAAAATTCTTTTCCAAAAAAAAAAAATTTCCAAAAATTTTTTTTAAATCTTCAGTACATCTGACGTCAACAAGGGTGATCAACCTGGTACCGTGGCACGGGTTTGGCTGTAAATACATGACAGATTCATTAAGGCAATCAAAGAATTTTAGGTTTTCTTAAATGTAAAAACTTGGCAAAAAAACATCAATGCAAAAATATATATATATTAGCAGTAAAATGTGCACAACAGAAAAGGTGCTAATTGTTAGCTTACTTCAAAGCCAGGGACAGATGAGACGAGGATGAGGATGAAATTTTTTTTTTTTTTTTCTGCATAAATTTAGCACGAATTTAGCAATTTTTTTTTTGGGAATTTTTCGGCCATACACTAATTTTTGGTCTGATGTTGAAAAATGATGATGAAATTATTTTTCAAAATTTTATCTTTTCTAAATGTTTCTCATCAAAATAAAAAATTTTGAGAAATTTTTTGGAATTTTTTTTCAGATTATTTTCAAAAAATCAGAATTTAGCATGTAATTTTTGGTCATATGTGGAAAAATGTAATGAAAATATTTAGATTTTTTTTTCAAAATTTTATTTTTTCTGCATAAACTTTAGCACGAATTTAGCATTATTTTATTTTGGGAATTTTTCGGCCATACACTAATTTTTGGTCTGATGTTGAAAAATGATGATTCAATTTTTTTTCAAAATTTTATTTTTTCTGCATAAACTTTAGCACGAATTTAGCATTATTTTATTTTGGGAATTTTTCGGCCATACACTAATTTTTGGTCTGATGTTGAAAAATGATGATTCAATTTTTTTTCAAAATTTTATGTTTTCTGAATATTTCTCATCAAAATAGAACATTTTATGAATTTTTTGGAAAAAAAAAGTTTTTACCGATTTTTTGGAAAAATTCAAATTCAGCATGTAATTTTTGGTCAGATGTGGAAAAATTCTGATGAAATATTTAGAATTTTTTTTTCAAAATTTTATTTTTTCTGCATGTTTCACATCATAATAGAATATCTTGAGAACTCTATTGAATTTTTATTTTTTCAAAAAATACGAATTTAGCATTATTTTTGGGGGGGGGGAGATTTTTCAGCAAAACCCTATGATTTGGTCAGATGTTTAAAGATAATGATGAAAATGTTTTGGATTTTTTTTTTGTCAGTTTTGCATGCTTCTCATCAAATTACAGCATTTTGAAAAAATTTTTAGAGCAAATATTTTTGGGGTAATTTATCACAAAACATAATTATAAAATTAGAGTATTTTGAGTTCAGAGTTTTTCTGTCAATTCCTACATCCTCGCATGTTATGTTGATCAGATAGAGAAAGAAAATTTGTCACAATAAAGTGGTACAGCGTTAGATGTACAGTACAGACTCTGTGGTGTCCTGTCACCATTAATTGTTACCACCATGTTTTCTTTTGCAGCTCTGTTGTTCTGTAAGTGTTCCACCACCTTAAATTCCTACACACACAACACACACAGACATATTTACCATGTAAACACAGCTCAGCATTTCTGTTGAGCCCTCATACACACTCCCACAGCTCCACACACAGACTCAAACGCACACTTAATTACTCCGTCACACGCTAAATAGATGTGCAGGACTCCCAGAGTGCCCTCTCTGACCCTGCCCCCTCAACCCAAACACTCACTTCCTGTTTCTTCTGTTGTTTCTCATTCACTTTTAAAAATAAAAATCAGAGTGGCTTTGGTGTGTCCTTCTGTGTGAATGAAAGTTAGTGAAAGGACACAACTTTCTTTGTATGCCAGGTGTGTGTTGTTAAAGGAAGTAGGGTAAGAGAATACAGGCCTTTTGTTAGCTTCTTTTTATAGCTAAAGCTAAAGCTAACACAACACGCTGGTTTCTGATTTTCTATTTGGAGCTTAATATTTATGTCCAAACCAACTTAAGTCAAAAAATGAATCTGCACTCAGGCAACACAACTGCACTGATGGGGAGTTGGCTCAAATGATAAAACTCAGAAGTCCAAATTACACACAGTCTGTGCTTAGTATCAAGATGAAGTCAGCCTTAAAAAACAGCTTCACTGTACAGAGTATTGTACCTCACATGTACACCACTTATCACAGAGTTCCATCAGTCTTCTCTGTACTCTCGTGGCCTGTGCAGCGGCAAGAAGAATGCAAATAAAGATCCTCTGTGTGATTCACAGGACGAACGAGCGTTAAATACAATCTCCCTTCACTACGTGTGGAAGAGAATCGAGTGTGGAAGAGGTTGAAAAGACACCAATTCACTCAGTAACTCGGCAAACACTCGGGAACTCTTGACTCTTGGGTTTTTTTTCTGTGTTGTGAAAAAAACCTCTAAACTCCAGACGGCAGACTGGGCCTAAATGGACGGCTGAACAATGACGAGCAAACATAATGCTGCAGGAATGTAGAAGATACAATGGAGAACGTGTTATTTAGTCTCTGATTACACCACGGCTTCTGCATCATCACCGCCACCGTCGTACTGTCCACGTCTGCACACACTGGGGAGAACAACAACAATAAGATGCTAACGTCTGGAGCACGCACGCCTGTGGACATTTGGAGTTTTTGTGCGTGAGTATGTTTTTATGGCTACTACTTACTCTCCCTCTCTCTATCTCTCTCTCTCTTTTTCTCTCTCACTCACTCTCTTTCTCTCAGGTCACTTGGGGAACAAAGCAAACTTTATCAGAACACTGCAATCCTGCATTCCCCAGATTCTTAGCACTTGGCAACGGACTGAAACACAGCGAGCAAAGAAGGAGGGAGGGAGGGAGAGAGAGAGGGGGAGAGAGAGAGATAATCAAAGTGAAAGAGCAAAAAAAGGAGAGAGGACACCAACGGCAGGTGTGTATATACACACACACACACAATTCAGCCTCACCTCAGGTATACAAATAATACACATTTTGGCAACTTAACTAAAAACAAATTAAAATTCCACAACCTGATTCTAAAAGCACACATTTAAATCATATTCCGTATAAAATGTCTCTGAACTGGAAGTGTTTGACTTCCATGTTATACATGAGCACAAAAGGCAAAAAAACAACAACAAACTAACTGCTCAGAAATCACAACAACTCAACTCCTTATTATGCTGCTGTATGTCTAGACCGCTGGAGGATCTCCCCGGACATGGTTTACTAGTCCATCACAACGACAATTCACACTCACATTTATCACCAAATCATACAAACTCAGGCTCTCATTTAAAAGAAATAAACTGTATCTACCACTACAGTCGCTGAGACATTAAACACGATGACATTAGTTTAATTAGTAAAGTCAGTCTCAGAAGCTGGTCTGTGCACACAGCACATTTTAGATACGAGCAGCGTGTCACATTTTCCGGCGTTTCACATCATTAACTTAATGGTTCTGTCAGTGCAAAAACACAACTTATAGATATGTTTGAGGAGGAGGGAGAAGGATAAGCAGAGTTCGTTCTATTCATTAATAACTAGTGAGAAAATAACTTCATGTTGATGTAAGTGGTCTGTCTCTAATGTTGACAGCCTTTTTTTCCCTCTTTAGGGAGGATTTCCTCCTACATCTTTTTGGTAATGTTCCAATTCATGCAAGCTCAAACTCCAATTGAGAGTACGGCCAAGTCAACAGGGGGCGACAAACCTCTAACTTGGGTCTGCTTTGTTGGCCAATCAGATGACAGATAAGCAAAAAAATCAATTTTTCTAAGAGACAGATATTGATGCTGAGCCATTTCTCAATGTCAAACTCTACAACAACGTTAACAAAGGCAGGAAAACAGCTGACGTATTTGCTTCAGAAACAGAATTGCTTTATGTCAAAAATGTGGCCAAGCGGAGGATGAACTGGAGAACAGTGTGACGTCGGCTGATAAACACGACAAAGTAAAGCAGCTTCATTTTCGCAAATACCCATTTACTTATGGACCTGGCATTGAACCACGGCACTCGCAGGTGTGGATTGTGCAGAACAGTCAGATCTGTGTACAGTAAATACACCGAGGTGACGGCCCATTCAGTGGTGATATATTAATGTTTGAAGGTGCTACAGAGGAAACCTTTAAAGTGTGGCAGGCCCTGTGTCTGTGTGTGTGTTGTTCCGTCCACTCCAGAGTCTTTGACTACAGTACAATAACAGTCACAGTGTGCCAGGTCAAACACCACGAGCAACGTAAACTGTACCAAGGACTCGGACTCTTAACATGACCTCTAAACTGAGTCGGCGTCAATCGGACACAAAATGAAAGCAAAAGTTTCCATTAAAGGTTAATTTTAGTTTATCGTAATGGTCAACCATAAGACACTTCTTGTCTGACCTTTAGCTATTTGGCTACTTTTAAATGGCTGACTTCAAACCAGCTTTTCCTTGCATGACCTTTAGCTTATTTGGCAAACGGTAGCTACATTTTGGGTATTTTGTAGCCATTAGCAGGATACAGGAGGAACTACTTCGTCTAACATATTTCTGGTTATGTGTTGGCTATTCTGCATAAATAACATATTTCTGGTTATGTGTTGGCTACATGTAGCTTTTCTGCATAGGAAAATCCCTTTTTACGTTGCACTTGTTTCCACTTTTGGTAAAAGACTTCATAACAAAGACACAGGAGCTGCTACTCAGGTTTTGCAAAAGTTAAATATGTTTTCATCAGGGAAATTATTTTTTTTTCTTTTATAGGACTTTAATGTAAAACAGGTACAACAAAAAATAGTATCATTAACCAGTGAGTGACGGCTCCACACACTGGTTTGATAAGTCACTCAGTACCTGAAGTGTTCACTTTAACAGTTATGTTCTTACATTGGTGAGAAACCTTTTTTGGTTTCCTAACCTTTAAAAAACTACAGACAGTTCACTATTAATTGTAATGTGAATAAAAGGTAATACAATTTAGAGCAAATTGATCAAAATAAAATGGGATTCTGTATTCTTCCAGCTATGTAGCAAGTTTGGTTGGTCGTGCGACTTGTATTCCAAATGGAAAAAGTAGACTTCATACCATGTACAGCTACCATTACACAACTGAAACCATAACAACTACTTAAAAACAATTACTAAAATATCATAAAGGAATTTGAAAAAAACAGAATAATGCCAGAAAGACAAAGCCACACTGCAGATTCAGTGATGAGGAATTCGATCAGGAACTTGTTGAACCCGTTAGCCTGTTTCATTATCTATTCAGTCCATGTTCTTTAAGCTATTGTGAAATGAAGTTTATCCAGTTTTTTTTATATAACTGTGAGGTTTTTGTTGTTTTTCTTCCTCTAAACAATGCATTTTTCCTTCCAGGACGTTACTGGCATGAGTTTGTTTAGACGTCTGATGAACGTTCCTCCTCCTTTTCTTATCGTCAACAGGGTGGAATGTAAATTTTTCCGAACAATCTAAATCCATCTTAAACAATCCTAGTATTTTGTGCCAATTACTTCATTATTAAACTACAAATCCGCTTCTCGTCGTCACTGATGACTCCCAACAGTACAGTAAGGCTGTGACCTTTACATTACTGTGTGAATGTGAACGTAGTTGGGAGTTTTCCAAGTTTCCATTATATCTGAACGCATCAATCCTAACCCCTGTGCCTCCTCCTTCTGCTCCTCTCTTTTTTCCCCTCCTCTCCGACAAACACACCTTGTACATCGGCCTCTGTTTAACTGCAGTTTAACAGACTAGCAGATATTCCAAGCAGGGTCCTGAGTACTCACAGAACTGGTGGCCCGTAAAAACCGGAACTCTGATCATTAACAATGTGACTCTTAGAAGGGGGCAAAATTGTCGAGTTAATGTTACTCAGTGCCCTCAGGTGAAAAGACGTGGACGGGGAGGGGGGGCTCACAGGAAGATACGTTGTGCAATGGTGTTGGAGAAGTTGATAATAAACTCCTGGACTGTCTGAGACTTCACTTCTGTCTCGTCTGTATCTTTAAAACCCACTCCATGCACAAAGTGTGAAATTTTGGCTCTAGTTCAGAACAGTGGATGATGAAAAGATTGCTATCGCTCTGTTCTCTGTGCTTTTACAGCAGACCTGTGCTTAGCTTAGCTAAAGAAGAAGCAGTGACAAAAATCAGCGAGGCGAGGCTCGTGCTTGTTTTCACATTTCTGTTTGTGTACTAATTTAACCGTGCCAACAGTCTGTTAATTATTAAAAGATGCCTGCAGATGTCGGGAGGTGAAAAGTTGCCCAAATTCCAGTCTTTAAGCTTAAAATAAGCCAACCACGTCTGGGGTGCTATAACGCCGCTTTTATATCACACACGCAAGCCTGTGTTTGTGACCTGGTCACGTCCACGTTATCGCGATTTCGAAGTGATTACATCTAGAGAACACCGCTAGGCACAACAGTAGCATTAGTGTCTTGTGACACTAAAAAAAACAAACTAAACACAGTTGTAAAAGTAGACTTATTTTCCAGTCAGTACAAACATTTATATACCTAGTTACCACAAACTATTTGTACCATGTAGGGCTAATGCTATAAACAGAGCTCAGCAGGTGGCAGCAAACAGTAACCATAATCAATGTAAGATATACATTCAGGCATACACATTATATATAGATGTAATAGTATAATGTCTTACCTGCACAATAGAGCAGCAAAGCAGAAACCTTTTGTGACGGTACATCTGTGCCTTTGACATCACCAACATCAGCTCTGATCTTCAGGCTCCCAACAACAGCTTCAGTTCTGCAGAGTCATAAAAAAAAGAACAAAATTCACACAACATGCTTTTATACAAACATTAAACAGTTAAAAAAGAAATACCAACTCAAAGCTTTCTACAGTCCACATCTTCCGCCACCCACCAGGTGAGAATCTTCTAATCAGTGTTTTCAACGTCTTTTTTTTGTCAGTAATTAATTAACGTTAGCTTTAACGCCTTAGAGTCCCAGACTGTGTTCTCGGTGTAGAACCCCTACTGTACGTGCTAAAGAAACACAGACTCCTTCCTTGAAAGAACACAGGAATGTTAACTCAGCTACGTCACGACAATGACAGACTTTCCACCTTTAAATTAAACGCCTGTGCGTTGTTTTGGCGTCACGAACTGAACGAGGGTCTGTGTTCCACTCCTGTTCTTTCACTCCCTCTGAATCACTGCTGCCTTACACTGTTTATTCATTACATTTTTATAGCACGTATAACTCTTCTAAAGGAGAACTGTTCCCCTCCCTCTCTGCCTCGACTGCAGACCCCTGCCTTATAATGCATCATGGGATGGGCCGGAGAATTCAGGAAGTGGCGCCTGTTTTCTCCATAGCAACCCAGAGGTCAGCCCTGCGAGGCCGGAGACCCCTCCTCAAACACAAAGAACTCCAAGGCATAGATCAACACAAACAACCCAGGCGTTCACAACCAACACACACGCACACACGCACGCACACCCACGTATACACACATGCATACAGTCAGGCGTGAACACAGGGACAAAATACAGTCAACTCACTGGATCGTTCCTGTGGAATTTCTTTCCAGCCACTAAGTTCATATCTTAAATCACTGCTGAGTTCTGAGAAGCTCAGTGTGGTGTAATGTGATAATGTGGAATCACCTGAGGCCATAACAGTTCTCTTGTTATGATGACATTACAAAAAAAATACCTACATGTTCAAAAAAAACAACTTCCTACTCTCACAATGGGTTGTGTAAATTAATGCTACCCTTTACCAACCTAAAGGGATAGTTCAATTTTTTTTTTTACAGTGTGGTCGTATAAAGAACTGATAGTCAGCGTTGACTCTGAGTCTGACGCAGACCATTGGCTACAAAAATGAACATAAGAAGAAAAAAAAACTAGGCCGAATACAATCTGTCCTACCAGGCAAAAAATATCCTCCTCTTGATATAAAATCCATACAATTAAAGTCGTTCATGACAGAGTTCATGAAGAAGAGGTTTTCTATCTGAATAACCCTCACAGGTTTATTGAGAGAAAAGTACTTTTTTTTTCTTTTTACAAGTTTGGTGTCATAGTAATTCTCAACGGAAAACAATTCATAGAGAATCAAAACTGAACATACATCAGTACATCCATGTTTTACCTCACTTTATAATAATTTTGATAGAAACCCTTTATAAAGTTACTTATTTGTTCCTTTCTAACACACTCTAAGTCTGACTCCAGCCACTTTCCGTTCACTGCTGAAGTGAAGGTCTCGGGCTTTCTCTGTCACACAGGCTTTTCTCTCATCCTGCCTGGGAACAAAATCCAGCCTCGTCCCCAGGGAGCACAGAGGGACGAACAGGGGGAGTCGAGAGGGTCATGGTTATACGTAATCCGCTGCAGTTTACTTATTACCAGATTTAAATTGACATTCTAAATGCAGACATTCCACTGGCCCAGTGGTGACAGAGGACAAGGCTGAAGGCTACAACCTTTGGTTGGTTATTCAGGAAAACATCCACCAATCATTACAGCTCTCTGAAGGTTTTCTTCAACCGCTTTAAAAGTCAGATCTACTCATTAACACATTGTACTGTGGTGGTGATCAACCTTTGTTTTTCAGAGGTTAATGCTCTACTGTACATAACTAACAACACTTATTCTCATTATTACACATTAGGGCTGCAGCCACATGAGTAAACAGCTACACTATTAGCCAAAAAATAATTAATAATGTATTTAAACAGACATTTGTTCTTCTAAAAAAAAGCATGACAACACACAACTCAAAAATCCAGTTTGATTTGTCTTATACAAAAGGAATTGTGAGTTACTTTCAAAGCCAGTATCTAATTTTGGAAAATCCAAATACCTATAACTCTATATTGTATTGTTTCAGCAGCCGCTTTCGTAAAAGGCGTAGAAACTGTTGTGTCAAACTCCCTTTAAAACGTTATCAAATGTTGTTGTTGTCGTTTCCATTTGTGTTCGGTTTATTATTGTGTCACTTAAAGTCAGAGTAACATCACTGGTGATAGGCTAACGCGGTTCTCCATTACATAACACTGTATACATTCAATGCGGTCGATAAAATCCACCTTTAGTTCCCACACCTGTTGGACTGTACTATGAAGCCAGGCTAATCCGTAAGAAAACAAACACATATTGGTCATTTTTGCATATATTCGTGGTACTAGTCAAACGAAACCTGTGCCGATTGTTTAAGTGGTATACTGTCGTGCAAAGTACATAGGTTTAAGTCTTTTGGATTAAAGAGCACTTGATACAAGGATGTGAAAGCGTACATTTTGGTGAATTCAAGCTGACGTTTGGTAATACAGTAAACCCGTACAAAAGGCAAAGTAAACAGTTAGAAAAGGCAAATATACTCACCAGAAGTACTTTCTTTTAGGTAAATGTTGGCGTCTGGGTGTACGGTCGTTTTCTTGGAAACTTTTAAAATAACTTTTCGGTCAGTTCTGTAGACGACGTTCGTGCAATGATGTTCGCCACTTGTCCTCAGAGGCTGCACCGCAGCGGGGATACAAACGCTGACATGAAACTGTTTCTTAACCTTTGTACAGTGTTTTTTTACACTGTATAAACTACTTTAAGTGTTCGTTCTTGTGTTCCGATAGAGTTTGTCCTCCGTCTGTGGGGTTTTGTAGGAAGAAAACTGGCCGGAGTCCAGCCCCCTTTTTCCGACTGACCGGCGAAAAGCTAGCTGTGGTGGTTAGCTACAATGACATTACATTTCCGGTACGAGGTTTAAAAATAAAAATAAAATAATAATAATAATAACAAAAATAAAGGTATTTACAAAACAGAAATATATTTCGACTTTTGCCATAAAAAATAAAAAATAAAACCAGCGGATTATTTTTCCACAAAAACGAATAGTTTTCTCTAGGAATCTTTACTTCCGGTTGTATGTTATCAAGTCATGCTTAGTATGACAGAACACAACCACACGCGCATGCACATTTTTTTTGCACAAACATTTTGAATGCAACCGCCTCGTAATCTACTGTCCTTCAAAACGAAACAGTTAAAGGTACAGTTTCGAGTTTTTTTTTTCAAATTGTGGTTTGTATAACATAACTGTTGTACAGTACAAACTCACTGCATCTGATGGAGACAAATAAGCTGAGGAGCAAAGTTACAAATTCACACAAAACATAAATGATACAAGGGGTTTCGAGATTTCAGATCAATCTCAACACAAGTCTCAACCGCTAGCTTTTATCTCTGCTATAAAAAACAAAACAAAACTTTTTTGTCTGTTGACTGTGCTCTTTCATAAATCATATAAATAAAATAAATCATCATAAACCACCAGGATTAACTATAAGCCGATTCTGATTAGAGAGTAACCTCTTCAAAAAATGCCCTGCCTGATTAGAGAGTAACCTCTTCAAAAAAATGCCCTGCAAATGTACATATATCACATGGACCTAACAGTCTTCATGATTTCAGACATTTAACAAGAAAACTGTGACATTTTCAAGGACATCCTGCCTCAGTCCCCTGCTGTGTTCAAACCCACCATTATACTGCGTCTCATGTCTGTCATACAGTACACATACTTTCTTCCACCCTTATTATCACTGTGTTTAGGGGACAAACAGGATCTGGCTGCAGATAAAATGCCTCCATGTTGAAGTTCCAGTGTTTACACCAAAGCAGTGTAAGGACACGGGGATTCAATCAAAAAGTTGTCAGTGAAAGCAGAGGTGGGCGAGTTTGACGCTGAGGACGTCCTCACCTACACTTTTAACACCTCCTGAGACGCAGTGTGGACAGATGGCAGATGACAGCTCCTTCATACAGTCACTACAAACACACACATACACAGCACTCAATGTGTAATGTACACACACCTGCAATGTGTTTTTACTCATCTCTCAGTATTGTCCCTGGTTTTTGTCCTTGTTTCCAGGGTAGTTGCTGACATCATTTCAAGTCAAAATATTAAAATGAATATACTGCAATACAACAGTAGAGGATCAGTCAGCAGGGACGCTGCCCTTTGTTGGATTTTTCTTTTTTTGTTTCTCAAGCAGTACTAAGTAGCAGTATTTCTAAGAGGATTTTTTTTCTCTCAAAAGTCGACCCAACAGGTGGCAGTGATACAATTAATAAGATGGGAAAACATGCAAAAGTTTTCAGGGGTCACAAGAGGGAGCTGCAGCCAATCGTACTGTGGGTCAAAAAGACGGAAAAAACACAAACCAACCTGCGCCCCAGGGGTTTGACAACTGCCAATAAGAACTAATGTAATGTAATTATTTTTAGTGAACCAAACTCTTTGTATTATCAGAGGCAGGTTTTAAATTCTCAAACCGTCTTTTGAAGTGTTCTTGCACAGTTGTCTGAAGAACAGCGATTAGCATTTTTTGTACCGTAGTTAATAATTGGAAGAAAAGCCCGTAAAGTTAACACACGCTGCACCGTCAAGGCCCGATCTCACACACCACTGCTTTCCTACACACACACACGTTTCACGGTCAAATGAGCCATGAAGCGCACACAATGGTCAGGGATGAAAGCATTTATTACCTTCCTCTTCGACAGTGTGTGTGTGTGTGTGTGTGTGTTTAAAACCCACCGTGTGATGTGAGCAGCAGGGGAATGACATGAGATCATCAGATCCGTTTGTGACATTTCAGCCTGAATGTAAAATGTGAATTCAGTCTGTCAGGTAGAGAAGGTGAGGACGACAACTTTGTGTTCTCAGGAGAAAAAAGTGGAAGTGATGAAACCATTCGAAGTTGATGTGTTTATGTCTGTTTCAGTGTGTGTTTTGTATACAAGAAAATGCAAACACAACAGAGCAGTCACCAGTGGAGTGTGAGATCAGGTCTATGGCTCAGATTTCACTGATCTGGTGGAATTAACAAAAAGGAAAGAAAGAAAGAAAGAAACAGGAGTTCACCAAGAAACAGCCGAACATCAGACGGTTAGCAGAAAACTCAGGCCTCGCTCAAGCAAAACAGATGAAACAAGTACTAAAGTAAATAAGTACTAAATACTAGACATCAATCATTATCGTCATTATCAATAAAATATATAAAATATATAATAGAGAACAGTTTTACCTTAGCCAAGATAGCTGAACCTAGCATACAATGTTGGCTGATGTTATTCAAAAAATAGCCTGACAGAGATTAAAAAGAAAGTTAACATTAGACGAGACCAGAGATATCAAGGAACCTTCCAGGACTTATACAGGAATTTTTTGCAGTAGCCAAAGGTGTTGGCATTTGGGAGGATGTTATGAGGCTTTAAAAATCCCCAAATCATCAACAACAACAAAAAATATATAAAAATATAAATAAAGACCTGAGAAACAAGCTGGAGAATAAAATAAAAACACAACCCTTTCATTACAGTGCAGTAAAGTAATTTTTAAAGAGTCAAATATTGATTGATTTTGTTAAAAATGTTTTACTGAAACAGTGTTCTTTTAACAGTTTATGACGTCTTTCAATCTAACCTGCTGGTAACTTTTTCACAGACAGAACTAAACTAAACTTAAGCCTTCACCTTTATCTCTGCTTCCACAATTTGTATTGGAACAGCACCATCTGGTGGGATTACAACGGAAATACATCTAATCGTAGCAAGTTTTTTTCACATCGACTTGCAGATTTTATAGGTCCACTGAAACACCACCAAGTTTTAATCAGTGCTTCAAAGGCTGTCAATCAGAAGTCAATCAACTAATTCAGAATTTATTGGGCCTCATCGATTCATTTGATTTGTCCATTTCTAAATCAACTCAGCTCAAAACTCTACATTTCTGGTGTCAGTGTGGATCATCAATGCTCTGAGTGAAATGTTCCCCTGCATAAAGTCCGTAGTGCAAACTATCCTTCTGGGCCGCAGCCCACGCCATCTGGAGGCTGGAGAACCGAGCGGCCCAGTTGCCCTGTGGGCCGACTGTCACCACCCCACCCAGCCCATCCACCCTGGACTTCATGTAGGCCAGGCCCATGTCACTGGCTTCTTCTACAGTGTGAAATCATAATGAAGAGACCAGGACATTACACATTAAACACCACAGTAATACTGATGTACAGGGTGATATTATATGACAGTGTGTGTCCTCTGGTCTGAGAAGACACTTCAGCAACTTAAAAACTTGTGTCACCTTGTTCCATGTGGAACAGGATGAGTCTGGCCAGAGTGACCTTCATGATGACTTCTCCGTGGCCTGTTGTCGAAACCGCCCCCACCTGATTGTCAGCGTAACCACCAGAACCTGAAAACACAGAACAAAACAAGAGGCAGGAAGTCATCCTGACGTCTGTCTGCTGCCCCCTGCTGCTCACCATCTGGTTTCAACGCTGCGTTGTCTTGGAAAACACAGACAAAAAGTTGAACTGATGTTTTCTGACATGTTGAAACAGAATTCTCACTCCAGGACCTGCCAGCTTCTTCAGTATGACAGACAAGCTTTCCCATCATTCACTAATACTACCCCCCCAACATTCTGATACGTTAAAAAGTTTATAATGAGTTTTAATGCTCTATGCGTATCCTGCTGGGGGAACTCCTTTGGTCCACCAGGCACTGGATCCCACTCAATAAACACACATCAAAAAAGTAACAAAAACAACCTCGTTCATTTACTAGTTTAGTATTTTTCAACCTTTGGGTTGTGACCCCATGTGAGCTCACCTGAACCTCAAATGGGGTCAACCTGAGAGCACAAGTAACAGCTACTAAAATGTGTCAGCGGTCGTCAGAAATTCATTTCATAGGTTTCTGTTTTTTTTTATGATTCTGGATTATAAAAACAACGCTGACTTGACCTCTAACCTGACAGCGTTATTTTTATAAGACCAGATGTTATGGTTCCAGTCTCATCAGTCATTTACCGACTGTTACAGCAGGCAGACAGGGACAGTGACGAAGTGACTGGTTAGAATTACTCCAACAAATCAGACAGAGAGTAAACAGAAATGTGGGACCGTTTTAGGGGAAAAAAATGCAGCAAAGAAATTCTTTTTGACTTGTACAAATGTTAAAAGTGCTGTTAATAATTAACAAAATGCTCCCAGTTGTTTGGTGTCACTTGTTAACCATATATGTGGTGCAGCTTTAGGCACTGACGACAGATAAACACTGGGACAACGACTGATAATTCCATTTAAATCAAGTGTGTTTGAAGAAGAATTCTCATTTAAATCTTTTTTGGCCTCAACATTCATGTCAGCACCTTTCACACGGAGACTAAACCCAGTCATTCATTAACTAACCTAAGGGTTCACTGTCTAACCTCACACGTTATCTCCTCCTGGACCGAGGCCGACAGTCTGAGGAAGACAATGACTCAATAAAATCCAACAGCACGAGGTTCAACTCTTCTGACCTATGCAGGGCGTGTCGCCCACTCGACCCTCCATCTTGTTCAGCATTCCACCGGTGGAGGTTGCACAGGCGACGTTACCCTCTCTGTCCACCGCCACGGCACCGACGGTGCCCATCTTGCCCCTGCATGATAACACACACACAGACACAAGCACATACTTAGACAGTCAATTAAAGGATTGACTCCACACTGCGTGCATTCACATGGTTTTATGTGTAAATGGTCTGTGCCTACAGTACAGTATGTGGTCCTTCAGGCCATGTCTTACATTTGGGACTCCACAGGGTTGGCACCAGGTTCCAGGTTCTTCTTCCAACGCATACGGGAATATTCCGTGACGAGGGATTCTGGGGGAACTTCAGAAATGCCCATTTCTTGGGCAAACTTATTGGCGCC